GGGGGGGTTCCACTACTCACCAGCAAGATGCTAAAAATCGTCCAGAAGGATGATACGCCACTCGTGACACACGCTTTTCATGTCCTTCTATGTTTGCAAGTGGTGTGTCCCTGGAAATTGTTTTTAAGGAGTCTTTTAGTTATCAGTAAATTACTTTCCCTCTGGAATTAATACAGCGACTTTCAGTTTTGTCATATTCACATTTCACGTTACTACACTTCCGCATGTCTAACTGTATTTCTGCACTTAACTGGAGTTTAATCAGGGCCGCGTTGTTCATAGCCCGAGATTTGCCAGAATTTTGATTTCCTTTTTTGTAACTTTGAAGTGAGGATTTTTGTTTATGTTGTTTTTCCCTCAGGGCTGAGTTGGAATAATCTCAAACTACACAAAACATAAGCGGTGAAAATCATTTTCATACAACACAAATTAATCCTTTAGTTAACTTTCAATCCTGGGTTAATGTTAACCAGCTTTCAAACAACCCAGCCCAAATAGTTAGATTACACCCATGACCAGCATTTTGTAACAACATGAAACTATTTACATGTATTCACCCAGCTGTCAATTTACCATGTTTCATTATTCATCATACACAGTGCTTTTGACACTGCTACTCCAACCAGTATGCAGGATGTGTCTCACATGTGAACCTAGTAAAATAGCCTAGCTAACCATACTGTAAGTCTCTCCAGAGCTCAGTGGTCAGAGCACCTGACCATTATCTGTACAGTCATAGGCTAGAATCCCATCAGGTACTCAGATTTTTTCCATGTTCTACATAATGAACATTTCTTTCTCAGCTGTAACCATAGCAGTTGGTTTATCATGCCATACCTGTGATTGGACAATCTAACATAAGGGTATGAGACACAATGCGAGCTATTCCAAACCATTCCCCCCATGTAGTATTCCATTAAATGGCATCTTTGAGATGTAAATTACAATAGGCAGTTCCTTACATGTTAAGAGACCATAGAAGCACAACACCATCTGCATCACAAGATGCCATACAAGGGCCTGTTTCATCTAATGACAGTGTGGCTTGAGGGTGAAACACAATTGAACCAACACGTTCATTGTGACCTACAAACAAACATAAAAAATCTTTGTTACTTGCAATTTATAAACTGTCATAAAACTTGTCCTTAAAGAGAAATGCATTGTGGTTAGAAATGGCTACTACTGAATTCAGGTGAAATATTGTATATCTTTCCAAACTGGTCAAACATGAAATAGACGGAAACCTAGGGCGATAGTTTTGGTATCTGTTACAAAGAATGAAAAGTGACAGCATCAGGTGAATTTGTAATTAACCATTGTCTAAAACCCAAGACATTTCCAACAATGTTGTACCTCTTAAAACTGCTATTGGTTCACAGTCAGGAATTGACCAAAGTTTACATAAGCCACTCCTAAGAAAGAAAAAAATTAGACAAATACATCGCATTACTGCATATATCTTTATATTGTCACTGACAAAAAGGCAGATAACATTATAATCAATCAGATAATACATTATTTAAAAATCCAAATTTGCACGATTTATACATTTATCACAAGAAGTTATTCAAAGCAAAAGTTGTCAATAAGGTGCATAAATTATAATCAAGGATCAAACTAACTGACAACTGACAACAGCACATGCATTGCAAACAGTTTTGCTCAGTCTGATTGATTGCAAGGTCATCACAGAGTCTTACTGCACTAGATCATTTTTGATTTGTAAAATACAATAAAAACCTACCAAGATGCAGTGGCCAGCATGTTGGAGTCTGGAGAAAACTGACAATAGGACAATGGTCTGTCATCACCAATTTGACTACAAAAGTTGTTTAGACCCTGAAGGTTTAAGACAAAAATTTATTAATTATTAAAAACCACCTGTCAATCATATCTAGGACATCATTTTGACTAAAAAGGCAACAGACTTACACCTACAGGTAAAAATGCTGGGCTTGTTAAGTTGTGCCTTTAAATTTTGTTTTTGCCAGAACTAATACATAGGTCAGTGAAGAATCACAATGCATCCACAGCACATGATTCTCTGTACATTTACATCTTGCTTTCAGAATGAATAGTTATAAAACAAACCCGCAGTTTGCGATGTAACTCCTGCATCTTAGCAGCTTTTTCAGGATCAGGTCTAGCTTGCTTGATACGCATTTGTTTCAATCTTTCACAAGCCCTGTGAAACAAAATCAGAGTTAAAATAGAGTATGGTTTTAAGACAAGAGAAGAATCAAGCAATTAATCAATATTAACTGATTGATCAACTTAGCAACTTTCTGACTGATTCATTAAGTGAATATACACCTATGAAATATCATATATTTGAACTGCAGAGAAAGATATGAAGGCATGATTTTGTAGGTAAAACATTCAATAAATATTAATGACAATTTAAATACAATCAATATCACATACTCATCATGAAAGCAAAGTTAGGATAATTTATAGAGAAGACTTCAACATACCGAGGTAAAGAGTACTTGGCAATCCAAAAGCGAGCTATTTTAAGCTCAGGAGAACCTTCATGATACCACACTTCTTCTTCAACTTCCTGAAACAACATGGATCATGAGTTCAGTTTCAAACTGTCTTGCAGGTCCTGAAGGTGTGATCGTCTTAGTTACCATTAATGCTCAGAACAGTGTAATTCTATACATTTTGTGCAAAAAATGTATCCCATGTTCTTTTTGTTGTAGCATGTCTGGTTTTAACTGTAGATACCTAAACCCCTATATCAAGGGGTTCAAACTGATTTTTTGGGTAAGATGTCAGGTATGCCTTTCTCAAACCAAAAGTACAAATTGATCTGAGCAATATTATTGTCAGTTCGAGTAACCTAACAATCTAAGGAAACAAGTTTGTATTTAGTTAAGAGTAGTTGTATTTGGTTAATAATAATTATTGTGCCTACCTACCTATACCTTGATCTCTCATTGCCATATATATATTATACACATTTTTAATTACTTACTGGTTCCTGTATTGATTTTTCCTCCTCTTCGTTTTTGCCAATGACTACATCTTCACCTTTGGGGAAGGGGTGAAATGTAGATAAAACATTACATGTACAGACATGATCAAATCATTTAATCAGAGTGAGTACAATTTCACAGTAGTGAAAGAAGAGAGAGTCTAGCATAGGTAAAGTTATACAGAGATACACCTACAAAGTTGATGAAACGAAGCAAGTATTTCACTGTTACCTAGCTCTGACAAAAGTTTTCTCAATCTGTCTCTCCTTTCTGGGGGACCTTCCCCAAATAAAGCTGCGAAGAAAGCATAACAAGGGAAAAATGTCAGATCAAGGTAACTTGTAGAAAGTATGTCTACCTGCATGTGTACTTCTATTTAGCTATCAGCAAGTTAAATTAAGAAATGTATGTCTAAATCAAAATGCAACTTTACAACTGTACTCCAGAATATTGTTTTGCTTACTTATTGGTTCACCAATCTCCCGGAGTCTTGCTTTAACAGAAGCATCATCTGTTGGTACAGTGATTGCACGAGCCTACCAATAAAAATAATTCCACTCTCACATGTACATCTGATACAAATTTAATCTACAGTATTAACATCAAATAAACAGGTTTAAACACTGTTTTCCACTATCAAACATAATATATAATGTTATACAGTATACATAACATGTAGAAATTTGATAACAACTAGCCAAAGTTTTAAGGCAGAATTTCTCTTGCTTGTGAGTACAAAAAACCTTATTAATTTTAATTTTGAAAATGGAGAATGATGATATCGGCCTGAAGTCCTGACTTTTCTGTCACTGCAAAGATTACAGATTCACAAAATTTGTAACAAATGGTGATGAAAAGGGAGTATTCAAGAGAAGTCAGACTTCCATAAAACTAGTCTCCGGACAGTGTATCTATCAAGTCATGGATCTTGCAAGTTTGGAGAGCACTTGCTAAGTTAGAGTTGCTCAAGATCAGCTTCACCTCAAGCAACTCTTGTGCTTCTTTCATACTCCCTAAACTCTGTGCACATTCCTAAGTTGAGATAAATAATGTAAGCTTACATGTAGAACCATATCTTAATTTGTGGATAAAAATTCTTTTAAACATACTTGTGTTTCTACATAAAAAAAAAATTTTCACTAACAAATAAATGATTTCTAAACAAATTTAAAATTTAGTTACATGTATAATTCTGTAAGAACAGGAGGTTGTTACATCAGAAATATATTTTACCTTTTTCCTTCTCTCAAATTCTGCCAATAGTTCCTGATGTCTCTCACTGGTGTGGTCTTCAGACAGTTCTAGGTATTCCCCTGTTTTTTTTTTTTTTTTTGAGATTAGCATACGTGTACAAATATAACAGTTCATGAGTCTCAGTAAAGTCTACACTTAATGATGTACAACATGTAGAACTCAGGGCTGTCATTAAGGGGCGTAACCCATAAAACTTTCTACGGCTGAGTATGCTTGATAGGCCCTTGATGTTACGGGTGAACTGGAATAATTATAGTTGGTACAATTCACCTAAATGTTAAGGGTGTGAGGATCAAGGCTACTGTTGAGTCAAAACTTAATGACAGCTCTGGAACTGATATAGATTTGTTTTAGAACCATTGTCTGGGAGCATACACTGTGGGCACCAAAACAAGAATAATAATTAGGTAATCATTATTTACAAACAAAATAAACCTTGTAAAGCTATATCATTGACATACAGAGTAAGACTCCATTGATCTATTATGTTGAACTGTTATATCATTATGAGGGTATGTGTAGCCATGGATACATCATTCAAAACAGTAAAAAGTAGTGTTTCGCGCATGAAAAGTAATTAAAGATAAACAGGATTCGTGAATTTATTGAAAATCCATTGTAAAAAGTGTACATGACACACAAATTTTGCGAATGAAATGGGATCTTGACACACACTTTGTTATCCTCTAGTCTACACTTGAAAATGTTTAATTTTGGCCAATAAACCAGCAATGAAGAGTAACGAAAAAGAGCCAGATCAATAACAGACATGTTTTCAGAATTTATCCCAGCATGAGTTGTTTTCTTACACATGTTGTTGCCACTTTTAGCTGAGCATACATGATTCTCTCTGTGCTCTCCAAGCTTTGCGTGTGCACCTTTAGTTCAATATACACAAGCCAATTCTTAATTTTTGTGAGCTAAATACACCATTTTAGGCAGTGAGGAACAAATGGAGCTGAAGTGAATCTATTTGGACCAGCTATCATGCTATAGCCACAATATGGAAAAACACTAGGACGTTTGCATTTAAGTTCTACATGCCACATAGTGACCTATAGCAAAGCTTCACTATCAAACTTAGTATATATACTAGTTTTGCAATGCTTTCAAGTGGTTTACCTTGGAATATCTCTCAAGTCACTCGTATTTTCTCAAAGGACACATGACCCTTTAAGTCAGTGTATACCAAGAAAATACATGTACAAGTGGCAACTGGGATATTCAATAGTAAACCACAAGAAAGTGTTACCTAACATTACTATTTCATACTATGCCAAATAAAATACAGTGGCCAACACAATCAATGTAACACACATGCAGCGCACGATGGCAAGGTTGAGTGAAATACCATCAAGTACACAATGGCTTTCCTTTATTCTGATTGCTTTTATTTTCTCTGGCATGGCATAAACAAGTCATCCATCATACTCAAACTTGATGCACACTGGTAGCCTTTGCTTCACCATTTCCAGTGGAAATCTTATACGGCAGTTGAATCATGCTTTCAGCTGTGCATTATTTAGTTACATGTATGATGCACTTGGGAAGTCTGGAGAACACTCAAGAAGGTTGAGTTGCTCTCTGCTGCTCCTCAAAGGACAACTCCTAGCCTTAGATTTTTCATGCTTTGTGCATACTTTCCAAACTTCCCGTGTACATCATGACTCGATGGTGCACAAATGGATTAATCAATTATTACTTAAGCTTGACATAAGCTTTTTAATAATGTTTAAAGGTTAACTTTCACCGTACTGTAGTTTTGCTTGGTTTGGACGCAGGAAGACCAAACGACTGTGAAGCGAGGGAATACACCTCTTGAGAAGATAACATAACTGAAGACCTTGTAATACCTAGCTCGCCAAAACCCTCCATTACTATTACAAACTGCTTACCGTCAGTGATATTTATATTTCCCGCTCTAATTCCAGCAAGGACAGCCGCCGACACGCCACTGTCCTCGCCTTCTTGATCATCATCTCCTTCTTCTTTGTCATCATTATCATTGGATGGCCCAGCAGCCAAGCGCTCTCTTTCTACAGCTTCAAGACTACCAAAGTGAATCCGTTGCTTTTTAATGAGTGGAGCACCATCTTCATCGTCTGACATCGTTAGTTTTCAAAAACAATTTGTCATAATTTTCATGAAATTCTGTGCACGAGGAGAAACATTGCTTAGAAACCACGCCAGGCAGCTTGGTAGCCAAGCCTTCATGTTATTGTGGAACTTGTGAAGCACTCTTGTGCTGACTAATGCGTTTTACACACTGAAAACGTCATCTGGTGGTTGCTCTCCAGATATTACAAGATGTGAAGGTTTAAAGAATCTTCAAGGAAATGTCGGTCTTCCGATTTGGTCGTTCTCTCGTAAGGTCGTTTTGTAAGCAGTTTACCGACAAAGGTAAAACCCTTTAGGCTGTTATTTTGGCACTGTCTATCACTTGCTTTTGGTGTTTTGGTTTCGATTTTGCAAAGTTGTTTATGATCTGTTGGTTTCAAAGGATCAGGGAAGGTCGCAGCAAAGTCAGGCTTAGGAAGCGGTGGTGAAATCAGAGAGAGCCACAGAGCTTCTGCCAGACAGTTAGTTGTTGCTTCCCGAGCTTCGCAGAATGCCAGTCTGTTTGGAAGACTTTTATGGAGGGGTTTCACGTCCGCTGTATCAGTTACCCAGGCGGCCTCGTTAAGGCGTAAGTTTCCTTGAGTAAGGCGTAAGTTTCCTTTAACCGGTTTGTAGGCCCAGTTTCTTTTGTCAGTCTACTTTCTACAAACTCTTGTAATCTGGACCGATAATATTGTGCCTTGGGGAAGAATTTTTTTTAAATTAAATTTAACCTTATAGCCCTAAAAATCTCTTCTTTTGTTTATTCATAGGAATGGCAGTATCAAGGTTTCTGAGAGGTTGTGGACCCAAGGCTCCTGTTTTTGCCTTCCTTGGGTTTGCATATGCTAGTAAGCAACCAGTGCAGTTTAATTTGCACACTACAACCTACATTAATCAAAATGTTGGTCAATTGTTATGGAACAGCAGGTATATTTTACAGGTTGCAGGTTGCAGGTTGAGATGTAATTACAACTGTAAAACCGCTGGCACTTAAGGTCATTCCACTGAAATAGAACCTGCACTGAGATTTTTGTGAAACTTTGCCTATTGATTGTTTACATTATAGGAACTTAAATTTTGAAATA